CATAATATCATGTCCCTATTTTTCTTAATAGAAACACATAGGGTGTGACTGGTAAGCCTGTTTAGAAGAAAAGAAAAGAGTATATTTTTAATTCTTCTGAATTCATCTGTATATTTACCAGTCATAAAGAAATGAGAAGAATTGTTTTTCTACTGAAAAAGTCAAAAATCAGAGTAAACCAGAAGATTTTGTTCCTCTTTAAAATAGCAGAATAAAAGTTTTATTCTAAAGTAACGTTTTCTTCTCTCTCTGTTTCTTCTGTATTATTCTACCCAATTCTTCTTATAGTTTTACCAGTCAGACCCATAATGTCCCTATTCTTCTTAATCTGTACAGTGAAAAAGTTATTGACATGTATTGTATATATGTAGCTCTCTTTATTAGTACTTAGGGTTACATGGTTAAAACAGGATTATATATATTCTACTTCGATATGAACTAACTCACAGAATTTGTACAAATTGTAAAGATCAGCCGAGACAACAATTTCTCACATTTTTTCCATATACAAATATAAGAAAATTGTTTTATACGGTACTAAAACTATTGATGATTATTAGCCCACTTAGCTTGTATCTAAATCTTCAAAATCACACTTTTCTCAAAATTTTAATTAACCCAAAAATATCGTTTTATATCCATATGATTCGATCATGGTTAAGAACCTGCATACCATCATAGGTAAAAATTACAATTAAACGAGTCAACAGAAAGAGATTAAAGACAACAACATAACTTCATATCATATACTATTTGTTTAAGAAAATCGTAAATCCCTCCTAATATATATACAATTATCGACGAGGTGTCGCGTGAGCCACGAGTTCGTCCGTTAAACACAACATCTTCGCTAGTTACCTTTTTCGAGATCATGTTATATATACATACATAAGTACATAAGATGTTGTATATGCATCGTGTGTGCACACTAATATATATTTAAGAGATATATAAACTCACATTATGAATGAGGTGGCGATAAAACTGACGTGGCGATAACTTATGATATATATTTTTTTGTATCTTTATAAAATTAAAAAGAAAGGATGGTTAAGATCACAAGCATGATTAGAATTTTTATCTATAAATAAAAAAATCATAAGGCTGATCGAATCAACCGTTATTTATATATTATATGTTCTTATTCCTAATTTTTAATTTCACCATCCACTTTTCATGGGGGCTTTATTGAGTCATTGATGACTCTAATCAAAAGAGACAAAAAAATCCCACTTAGACTTATTTTTTAGTTGAGACTATATAAATTAATTTTTAGTTACTTTTCTTCTAGTGACATTATATGTTAAAATCATTTTTTATAAGTATATTTACTCTATTTGGATGAACAATGTAGAAAAATATCAATTAAAATTTAATAGCAACACAATTAGTGATCATTTTTAGAATATTATATTTGATATAGAAATATTTACGGTTATCTTATGGTTCTTTTCAAAAAAAAAAAAAAGTTTTTTAAAGAAGTTATCTTATGGTTCTTTTCAAAAAAAAACCTTATGGTTAATTTCTTATTGGCTGGTGCCCAGTTCCACTCTGTTCATCTTCATTATAGTCAACAATTATCCATCCATTTTTTCTTTCTAATTATAGTAAAAAAAAAAATGTTACGCATCTGCATGACATCTCAGATGATAATTTGACATTTCAAACTTTTGTTACTTTTATTACTCTTTAAAGTTCTCTATTTTAAAAGTCATGTTTTTATTTGGCCGGTAAAAAACCTTACACATACATGCATGCATGTTTAATTTTTTCTTAATCTTTATTTTTATAAAATATATTTCACTAAAATTTAAACTGAAATAAGTATATCTATTCTCTATTAAATCATAAATATGGTAATTATAATCTTTAGATTTAACTCGATCTTGTAATCTAATGTTTTATATTATTGTCGCTACGATATTAGAACGTAACTCATTCAAATTTGAGAGTGTGAGCGTGTGAATTATAGTTTTAAAAATTAGGTATGAAATTCTTGATATTAGATGCGTAGACAATTGTTGTTAGAACATAAAATCGTGTGAAGTCCAACAGAGCTTATCGCTAAACCGAGTTGTCGAAGAAACGTGTGTACCATTTAGATCAATTTTTAGAACATAATTATATATAAGTGGTTGCCATAAAAAGAATATATATAAGTGATTATGAATAAAAAGTGTGTACCTAACTTTGACGGTTTAAGATAATAACTAACCTATTTAAAAATAAAATAAGTAGTGGTTTCTCTAAGATTTCAATATGATTCATTACCTTCTAATATATATATTTTTTTTTTCTTTTTTTTTTTTCTTTTTATTACCTTCTAATATTACTTTTAGTATATCATTTTTAGTCGTATAAATCAAATGGAGCGTATGTAAGTTATTTATCTGCATTATTTTACGTGGATAGAAGGAAAACTACGAAAATTTGGATGCATCCATATAATCAAAAATAGTTGACTGTAAAATTCATTTTTTTTAATTATTTCATTTATATTACTACGTATATGATTTGACGAAAAAAAAAAAAAATGAAATTTATAGTTATTCAGTCGTAAACGGATACGGGGTTGATGAGTTTCTTTTTGTTAAACACTTAAACTGTAAGTTAGAATTTATTTGTTGAGAAAAAACAAAAACTGAAAAAGAAGAAATGATACGAAAAAAGGCAAAGATAAAAAGAGAAAAAAATAAAGCAATCGTGATGGAGAGCAGAATAGTGAAAAAGAGAAGAATGCCACGTGTTGTATTTGAGAACTCGGTTACGAGGCAAATACGCGGGCTATCTCTAAAACGTGTCCTCTTTTCACTAACGACGTACCAAACCAATTTGATTTCACTTCCCTAACCCAAAAAAAAAAAAAAAAAAAGATAGACGACACAATGGTCCAATCGGAGAATAGTGAGACAATCGGAGAATAATGTCCTCTTACTTATCTTTTTACGTGTTATTTTCTTCTTTTTTTCTTTCAATTTTCTAATATTTTATCCTTAGTTTTAAAAAATGTCCAAAAACACCTATCATGCAATATTTTGTTGTTACACGAGGCCATATCATTGATTATACAAACTTAGTTTGGTGTAGGGATTCTTCCATCCGATTTGTATATGCTTCTTTTGTATTAAACTATTAGACGGAGTTTCTAGAAAAATAATACGTGAAGTTTGTTTCTTCGTTATATAATACGCGAAGTTTGTTACGATAATTTAATATATGTGTCGACGACATATTATACTCACAAATTCATTACTCTTCTAATTCTAGTAATTTCATTATATATAATAGAGTAAACAAGTAACTCCGAATTCGTACTCGAGGTCATAGACTATGAGTATCATCAATACAAAAATGAAACTATTGTGCTTAATTAGACTTTTAAAGGAATCATCCACGTAAATCATAAATTTAAAGCTTTACTTGGTGACATAAACAACATATTTTGAAAACAAATATGAATCCAAAAGTAACGATGATTTAAAAATTATGCATGTCGGTAAGTATTTGTTGCCAACAAGTATTTGTGTAAATTAATTTAAACGTAAATGTAAGAATCTGATGACAAAAGTAAAAAACATAAATGTAAGAATCCCTGTTGAGAGTGTTGACCAAATAGAAAAAGGAGTGGTCGAACATCTCTATAGATCTCGTCAACTAAAATCCAAGTGAAAAAAATATCACCAGACTATTCAAAGTTAATATCTTCGAGAGCACGTTAAATGATGTAACACACCGACTTTTGGTAAATTGCGTGCGTAGGGTATTCGTGTTCAATTAAGGATTTTGTTCATTTCTTCAAGTTATGATTTTTGGGAAGCTGTTTTTTAGGATAATAGACAATTGAAAGAGGTACTATTTAGTGGCTGATGTTTTGTTTAATTGGAGTATATATCAACCGAAGCACAAGTATTTCGTATGGTTCTTTGCGTCAGCTATTTTTATTTCAGGTTTTCAGAAGTTTCAGAGACTTGTTAAGTTACAAAATTTAGATGAGATCGCGAAGTATTTGGGTTCTTGCGTCCGAATAATTAATAGATTCTATACCCTCAAAAAAGGTCGGAGATCACTCTCTAAATTATAAAACATATATAAATCTAATTGTACGGACAAAAACTCATGACTCAAGCAATAAGACAAGCCAAAAAACATTCCAATTATTGTGTTACTCTATTCTTCTAAATTTTAACACTACTCGACCATGACATACCATGAAAATATATAATGTGAAGTCTTAAGATATTTTCAAGTGGAGATGAATAGGCCAAGTTGGAGTTTGCAAAGAAGAAGCTCTTGAGCGACGACATAAGCCAAGTTGATGATTGTAATTAATGAAACATCATCTTGACACTAAATGTGTGTGGTATGTATTAGGGACCCATACACACATTTTTCTGTTTGGTCTATAGCATGAATTTTTGTATATTTTTAACAAAAAAACTAGCATATTCACTGGATTTGAATTCGAATATTGACACAACAACAACACTAATATAAACTACTAAACTAGATATGTTTATCTATATTTTATTGATCGACAAATTCTAAACTGTCTTAGAATTTTTCAACACATTAACTTCATCTTACAACGGTAAAAAAAATCACCAGTAGACGAACAATGCTTCATAATGTCTCGAACCCTCTAACTCAAGATGATACATTTTGCTAGATTAGAGAATTTAATATCTTCAAGTTGCCAAAGAATTGGAAGCTTTTGTTACCAAACTTAGAAACAGAAGAAGCCACAAAAAAGACAAAGGGAGTTAAAGATTGAAGTGACACATTTGTCTATGTGTGAAAGGTCTCAAGTCTCAACTTTGAACCATAACATATTTCTCACTCTCCTTTTTTTTTTTTCCTTTTCTTTTAATTCCCTCTATACCCACTCACTCCATTCCCTCTCCCTGTCACTGATTCAACACGTGGCCTCACTGATGGGATCCACCATTTCTCTTACCCACCTCCCGGTTTATATAAACCCTTCACAAACACTTCATCGCTCTCAAACCAACTCTCTCTTCTCTCTTCTCACTTGAACAATAAGAAAAAAAAAACAGAGCCTTTACACATCTCAAAATCGAACCAATTTAATCACCAAATACTGATTGGACTTTCTTGAAAACATGGCTTCTTTCACGGCGACGGCTGCGGTTTCTCGGAGATGGCTTGGTGGCAATCATACTCAGCCGCCATTATCGTCTTCTCAAAGCTCCGACTTGAGTTATTGTAGCTCCTTACCTATGACCAGTCGTGTCACACGAAAGCTCAATGTTTCATCTGCGCTTCACACTCCTCCAGCTCTTCATTTCCCTAAGCAATCATCAAACTCTCCCGCCATTGTTGTTAACCCCAAAGCCAAGGAATCCGACACTAAACAGATGAATTTGTTCCAGAGAGCGGCGGCGGCAGCTTTGGACGCGGCGGAGGGTTTCCTTGTGAGCCACGAGAGGCTTCATCCTCTTCCTAAAACGTCTGATCCTAGTGTTCAGATCGCCGGAAATTTTGCTCCGGTGAATGAACAGCCCGTCCGGCGTAATCTTCCGGTGGTCGGAAAAATACCTGATTCCATCAAAGGAGTGTATGTGCGCAACGGAGCTAACCCACTTCACGAGCCGGTGACAGGTCACCACTTCTTCGACGGAGACGGTATGGTTCACGCCGTCAAATTCGAGGACGGTTCAGCTAGCTACGCTTGCCGGTTTACTCAGACTAACCGGTTTGTTCAGGAACGTGAATTGGGTCGACCGGTTTTCCCCAAAGCTATCGGTGAGCTTCACGGCCACACCGGTATTGCCCGACTCATGCTATTCTACGCCAGAGCTGCAGCCGGTATAGTTGACCCGGCACACGGAACCGGTGTAGCCAACGCCGGTTTGGTCTATTTCAACGGCCGGTTATTGGCGATGTCGGAGGACGATTTGCCTTACCAAGTTCGGATCACTCCCAGTGGAGATTTAAAAACCGTTGGTCGGTTCGATTTTGACGGACAATTGGAATCCACAATGATTGCCCACCCGAAAGTCGACCCGGAATCCGGTGAACTCTTCGCTTTAAGCTACGACGTCGTTTCAAAGCCTTACCTGAAATACTTCAGATTCTCGCCGGACGGAACTAAATCACCGGACGTCGAGATTCAGCTTGATCAGCCAACGATGATGCACGATTTCGCGATCACAGAGAACTTCGTCGTGATACCGGACCAGCAAGTCGTTTTCAAGCTGCCGGAGATGATCCGCGGTGGCTCTCCGGTGGTTTACGACAAGAACAAGGTCTCAAGATTCGGAATTTTAGACAAATACGCCGAAGATTCATCGAATATCAAGTGGATTGATGCGCCTGATTGCTTCTGCTTCCATCTCTGGAACGCTTGGGAAGAGCCAGAAACAGAGGAAGTCGTCGTGATCGGGTCGTGTATGACTCCACCAGACTCAATTTTCAACGAGTCTGACGAGAATCTCAAGAGTGTCCTCTCTGAAATCCGCCTGAATCTCAAAACCGGTGAATCAACTCGCCGTCCGATCATCTCCGACGAAGATCAACAAGTCAACCTCGAAGCAGGGATGGTCAACAGAAACATGCTCGGCCGTAAAACCAAATTCGCTTACTTGGCTTTAGCAGAGCCGTGGCCTAAAGTCTCAGGATTCGCTAAAGTTGATCTCACTACCGGAGAAGTCAAGAAACATCTCTACGGCGATAACCGTTACGGAGGAGAGCCTCTGTTTCTCCCCGGAGAAGGAGGAGAAGAAGACGAAGGACACATCCTCTGTTTCGTTCACGACGAGAAGACATGGAAATCGGAGTTACAAATAGTTAACGCCGTTAGCTTGGAGGTTGAAGCAACGGTTAAACTTCCGTCAAGGGTTCCGTACGGATTTCACGGTACATTCATCGGAGCAGATGATTTGGCTAAGCAGGTCGTGTGAGTTCTTATGTGTATATACACACAAAATACGTATACGTGATGAAGAAGCTTCTAGAAGAAATGAGAGAGCGAGATATACCAGTGGGATGCTCTGCATATACGTCCCCGGAATCTGCTCCTCTGTTTTTTTTTTTGTTTGCTCTGTTTCTTTGATGGTTGTTTCTTTTGGGGTGCGGTTTGCTAGTTCCCTTTTTTTTTGGGGTCAATCTAGAAATCTGAAAGATTTTGAGGGACCAGTTTGTAGCTTTTGGGCTGTAGGGTAGCCTAGCCGTTTCGAGCTCAGCTGGTTTCTGTTATTCTTTCACTTATGTTCATCGTAATGAGAAGTATATAAATATTAAACAAAATGATATGTTTTATATATTGTGCATGCATTTTATTATATCTAGCATGAAATTAAGGAACATTTTATTCTTAAACTACACAATTTTCTATGGTTTTTACTTAGTTATCGCTCATTTTCTATATCGAAACGTTTCCACGTTAAAATAAAGATGCAATAAAAATTCTAAACGTTTTCTGGTTTGTACCCATCACCTATAGATTTTATTGGTAAAAGATCTATTTTTCAATGATTGTAGATAAATAATGGACCAATGAGAGTTAGACAAGATTCAAGTAAACTTTTGGACTTAAAAACAAAAGTTAATAACCAAATCACAGGCCGTATAAGCTTAGTTAGTCAATTTTTGGTATTTGCATGGAAGAGAATCATCAAAGTCAATTCAGTCAATTTCGAAATAGAAACGAACGAGTGAAGTTAACCCACGTCAAAAAAGGTAAGTATGTAATTTGAGTATGACGACCTATTTAAATTAACCCATTAGATATTAATTGACATCTAGTAACCGGTCGTTGTCATAAACCTATATTAAAGAACATTTTGTTATTTTGGTAAGCAGAACCGTATACATTGGATATGTGAGTGGTGGGTGGTAACACAGTGGAGAGACCAATCAAAAATAGTGGAATTGTGACGAAATTAACGGCATTATTCTTATAATATAAGTAATCACGCATTTGTTACTACTTTTTTATAAAATATATTTCAATCTTTTTTTTTTTTAATGCAACACTTAATCTGATAGGGTGATGTTTGATCGTTGGAAGATTATAAATATAAGCACAGAAAGCAAAGTCAACTGTCCGAAAGCGTGTTTCGGTGTATTGAGATTAAGACATTTCCAAAGTAATAGGTTTGCAATGATTTACATTTGGTACTGTATCATTTATCAACTTTAATTAGAGAAGATCTTAGGGAGGAATAACCTTAGGTGGCTCTCTATACATATGTTTCCATAGACTTAGAGTTCAAATTTAAATGTTATGTAGACGTTAATTATCTATCTTTAACTTTAGTCTTGCGGGTTGTCAAAATGTTAACGACTATACTAATTTAAGCACAACACTCATATACTGAATAACCTTTAACTTACTCTTACTCAATATATGTTTAGATCGAACAATTATGGGATGAAAATTTCAATTTCTGCGGTTAAATACAAGCAATAAACTATTTTGTATACGTATTTGGGCATATAAGTGTGTATGTGTATATAATATATACTCCCTCTGTTTCGTTTTACTTGTCGTTTTAGAGTTAAAATTTTGTTTCATAATAGTTGTCGTTTTAGGTTTTCGATGCAAATGTTTTGTAAAAATTCCAGTTTTATCCCTACTGTTTTAATGTTTCGGCCAATGAATTTTTTTATAAAATATATTAATAAAGGGTAAAACAGAAAATTTAATGTTTTTCTTAATATGTGTGAGAAAACCTTAAACGACAACTAAAACGAAACGGAGGGAGTATATAGGATTAGGATAAGAGGAAATTAGTTGATTGGGTAATGGTGATCAAAATAAGCATAATTAAACTGATTATCGCATTAGTTAATGGCTTAATGCTGTAGGGATCAAAAGCACATTAGTTCACTTTCACATTCAACGAAAATATCTCAAACACCAAAAAGTGTTAAAACTTAAAACAGATGTCATACATGATTTTGGAAAAATGTCAAAAAGAAACATTAATATTTGGCCAACTTGGAGATATCTTCATATGGTGGATTATTAATTTGTTTGTTTGTTCACGTTCTCTTCCAATATTATAGAAAGTTAAAAACCCACTAATAATATATTCTTGTTGGAATATAGTTACAGTGTATATGTATATGTGAGATATATATATCTATCACAGACTCACAGTGTGTAGGTTAATGGAGATTTCACGTAATCATAAACTTAATGTGATTCGAGTAAAATTAACACTTTAGTCGGAAAAAAACTTCATTGGATACGATACGACGAAATGATACGGTGGGTTGCATGGGAATTATTTATAAATAATACTTAGACAATTAATTACGGCCGTCCACGTTTCAGTATTTTAATGTTAATAAACGGCTGAAGAAATGTATGTGTCTGTGAGGGAATATACTGAAGCAACCAATTAAATATTCACTATTTACCCAATTTAGAAGGTGACTTTTTCTCCCAACTAATCCAAGCCTAACTACCTTCCTTTAGTGGAAGGTTGGCACTTATTTTTTCCATTTATATATTAGCAGTTACTACTTACTCTTACCCAATATATACCGGGAAATCCGGCGTTGTGATTTCGAGAACTATACATCCAAATGCGATATCTTGGTTTTTAGATATTTTCATGAATTTATTTTAAAAGTTCTTAGCTAACAAGAAAATATGTGGTTGGTAATGTAAGGTTCACATGTAGCAATTGTGTGCTTTATAATACTTTTTTTTTTCCAGAATCGTAGACTTTGGTAACATGTATGCCAAAGTCTAAAATAGTGATGGTCCAATCTATAAATAAATAAAATCAAATTGTTAAGAGAATTAACTTGAAAAATTAACTTTAGTTGCAAACTTTATGGATGTGGGAACATTTTTTTAATAATGTCCATGATTGATGAAATAGCGGAATTGTCAAACACAAGTAAAGATTATGCGGATTTGTAAAACAAAAAAAAACTATAAAGAGACACAAAAGTAGAATACAGTTCTATCATTTTATATGAATTATCATTAAGCCTTAGATATGTTTTTTATCATCAATAATTTAGCCAGCTAAAAATAGTGTTACGTAGAGTCCATAGCTTATAGACATAGTTAGCTAGTGGAGGCCATAAAATATAGAAGCTGATATCTTTCTGTTGTTTTCTGAATAATTTGTTCATCCTTTTTTTTTTTTTTTTTTTTTTTTTTTTTTTTTTTTTTAAATTTGTTCATCCTTGTTAACTAGCCATTGATTAATTTTGCGGCGCGTTATTTGGCTCTTCGTTGATCAGAAGAGACCACAACAAATAATGTTAGCAGACGCAGTTCATTGTTATTCTCGAAATATAAAAATGTATGTTCCTCTTAATTAGAAATAATAGACAACATTTGGAACCACTGCATGAAAACTATGCAAACAAGTGTTACTGAAACATAAAAATGACGACACGCCGATTAATTATTTATGAGATTTTTCTCCTGCAGAAAAAAAATAAAGCTCAAAACGTTAAGAAGTTTTTGTTCCCGTAAACAGTTAAAAGATTATCTATGCAATTTTACTCAAAAAAAGCGATAATGAATATGAATTAACGTTCTTTTTTACTTGACAAGAATTAACGTACTTTTTTTCTGTCAACGAATTAACATACTTTTGCTTTGTGAAATTCGGAATTCTATAATTCATAGCTCTTTTGCTTCGAGATTGGTTTTCACTTTTAAGTTTTAAACACGACATTTTAAATTATGGTCAGATAATCAATAAAGCATCAAATGATTAGCTCAACGAAACGTCCAAGGATATTCTCTTTGACAATATCTGTCGTATAGTTATATGTATATATAAAATAATAATACTATTTTTATAATTGAGCATGGCCAGGTGGCAAAGAGCAAATGTTAGTTATGATCAGCCATCGAACCAAAACTACCGAATGCTAGCTAAAGTATATCGAAATGTCCAAAGATAATAAAATATTAGAGTGACAAGAAATATTGAGGGGACCCCTATGCTTTCAACTGTTTGAAATTAAATAATTAAAGTTTGTACAGCTTTCTAGTGATCTAATATTTATTGAACTTTTACATGTGTTACTATATCGGGAAGTCGACACAAAAGGATGGTTCATTGAAGGTATGAAGGGATACACACAAACACATCTATGTGTGTGCGTGTGTCTTTTTTTTTTGGTTTTACACGTACATATATATATATATATAATATAAAATCACACGTATATATACATATGTGTGTGTTTGTGTAGAGTTTATAACTAAATTTGTCGATTTTCTTCTAAACAAACCGGTTGTGTCGTCTTATTCTCAAATATATAAAAACTATTTTAGTCATTTATCAACATCTCTAGTCAGACTTCGTCATTTTCTAAATTGGGACTCCTTAAACTCGTCCAATAAGTGTATGTATATGATAATGCAAAACGAATTATATATGTATTTATTCCTAGCGTCATTGAACAAAGTAAGAAATATGATAAAATATTAAAAAGGAGAGAAAGTATTACTCTATCTTGACTGGGGCACGTGTTCATAGTTCATACATTGGCATAAGATCGTTGTTGTGGATAAAAGCGATAAATGATTATTTGCAACGAAATAGAATATAAAATTTAAAATTCATTGTTGCTTTTAAAATGTGAAGGATTGGAGGAGAGTGACGAACAAGATGATGTATACCACTATAATCGTGCCTCATAAATTATAAAAAGATAAAACGCCAATAATGCAAGCCACATTACTTACACCTCCAAAACTTTAGCATAATATATACAATATCCTAACTAACTAGCTAGTAACTACCATATATATTAGTCTCATAGATCCAATAATATAGATTCGAATTTTACTTGGATATCATCCTTCTTCATAGAATAATCGATTAATTTGAATGAATATTTGATGCTGAATATATACATTATTTATAGATATATAATGTAAAGCTCCCCAGAAAGAAACCAACAGCATTAAACAGCTGGGGGGATTTGTGTTGTGTGGAGGTCGACCTTTCAGCGTTAAGACAGGCCAATCATGTCTTTGATACATGATGTTATTTAATAATATTAATGTACTAGTATTTATTTATTCTATAGTACAATCTTTTTTTTTTGTTTACGACTATCTATAGTACTACAATCTTTTCTTTGTAAGTTTTTTTTTTTTTTAAATAGAATTATATATCCCATTCTTAACATCCGTCATAATCTTTCAATGTTCACGTGAATATTACACATAACACTGATTAGGAGGTTACCCATTTTCCTTTTTATTAGTATAGCGCTATATAATTTTATCGAATTAATAAAAAATAATAATTGTGAAACGGAAATATGTGTTCTAATCTTAATATAGTTTGAATAGATTCATTATTTACATATTCAAAAAACCGGATTTGAAATGAACCATGCAAAAACCAAAAGAAAAATCATTGTATATAAAACCTTTTTTTTTTTGGAAATTAAATATATATTTGATCAAAATCTGAATATGAATCAAAACCATTCCTTTTACACTACATGTTACTAACTTACTATTATATATGAACCGAAACACCAAAAATCGTAAAATCTTTACGAGAGACAATTTCAGCCTGAATAAACTCTACAAAACCCATCTTCACTAGCTATATTTTTTTTTTTTTGATAACCGAGTGTCCTGGCCCCACCGAGGTGGTCCAGACTAGAGACCGAACCCTTACGGCACGGACGCACACCCGAGGGTGGGTCATGGCCAGGTAACGGTCTTCGGTCTCGGGCGCCAGAGCAAGTCCGCATGTAAATTCCCTGGTGGCCACTAGTATGTAGCAAGGGGGAATCGAACCCGGGCGTATTGGGATTACCCCCTCAACCACGAAATCCGTCCTACCACTAGCCCACCTTGTAGTGGTTTTCACTAGCTATATTGATGTACTAGAATGACCTTCCAACGAAAGTACGTTTTAAAGTCTTAAGTTCGAGTCTTGCTATTAGGGAGGTGACTAACTAACCTACTATGATCTCTGTTATGAGGGGGATTACAAACCTAAAACTCGAAATCTTTTGGTTACCGAAAAAAAAACCACTCTTTTGTAAGCACGCAATTTCCAATGAATTCTAATACTATATATATATATATATAATTTGGCACAAGCAATATTCCAAAACTTTGGTAATAAAATTTGGATATCCAGAGATAGGACATGTTTCAAAACTTTATCCAGGACATTTTAAATACAGTTCGCAAGTTATTACACGAAAGTATTAATCAGGTTCCATATCTTGCAATATCGCGACAAAGAAAAATCTGTCTGGAGGCAAGTCACCATGGACCGCTTAAGATGATGATATGAAAACTTATCACATGATTGAAAGCCACAAAATGGATAAAGCATTACCGATTTTCTTTTTCTCTTTATATATATATTTCCTCTATGGAATTAACTTTAACTCCAATTTGCTATCATCATCGTCATATTCCCGAAAGGGATAAAATGTCATAATCAGCCACGCGCATAAACCTCTGGACTTATTAGAAGTTTTGAAGGCCAGAGAAGGACACGACCACGTGACCGTCAACGTACCACAAACCCAGTCTCATAGGGCACTCACTGATTAAGAAGAAGAAGAAGAACATATCTTCTCTCTTTAACATTCTCTTCTCATCTCTTTAATGACATGATAACGATGCTTCTTTTAAGGACCCACTTGGAGTTTGAAACCAAAATGGAAAATCTGATAAGGTCAAGAGAAACAAAGAGAGAAGCAAAAGATGTGCTAAATCGATCGGCCGACATATTGGGGACTACAACTTCTGATCAAGATTGTTGGTGTTGGAATTCGTACTCAACCTGGCCAGGGAAAAAGCCCACTAAGAAAGAGAGCCCACACACAATATAATATCCAGGCCCGGTCATTGGAAATTGCGTATGCAACACACAGAAATCAACTAACGCATCATTTGATCCTCTCGTATTGGGCTTTGATTAAATATAGCCTGGCCCAAACTGTTGTAAAAGGCTTTAGTGATAAAAAGCAAAACATTTTTTCTTATTCGTCGACGGATAACAAACCTAAGCTGCATGGAAGCGGCTCTTGTGATGCGTTTCTCGCTTCGGAACCGGAAGCGGAAGCGGAAGCGCTCGGAATCGCTCGGAATCGCCTCGGAATCGCGATTCCTAAAATGATGTGTTTGGAAACGTGGAGGAAGCGGACGATTCAGCATTGGAAGCGTCGGTGGTTGAGATCGGAAACGTCTCTGCTGTAAATCAAAGATGAAGAAGATGAAACAAGCCAAAACCATATTTGCAGAGGAGGTCCAGCGTATAACCAAAGATTCAGTTGTTTCTCATGTCGATTTTGCGCCACATGGATGGGTCTTTGCAGACGCGACGGATCGTACTGTTCCCGCTGCGACGAAGAGGAGGAAGCCATTTTCTGTGAGAATCGGAAAATTGTCATCGCCCTACCCCACTAAATAATATCTACGAATACGATTTGTGTCAATTTGTTGAGGGTTGAGTCTTCGATTGATCCTGAAATTGAGAAAAAGAAGATGATCAGAGATAAGAATGAGAAGATGATGAAGAACAAAGAGATTGGCAATTAAAGGAAGAAGATGAAGTGGTCGTTAACGAAGGAAACGAAGAAGCAACGTTTTGTGTGTTGGATTGAAAAGGTGAGTTGGGCCATGTTGGTTTTAGTTTCGGCCCAGTAGAAGAATGAGTTTATGAGTGTAGTTAAAGCCCATTCGGTTAAGTATGTTGTTAGAGTCTTATAACTAAGTTATGTATTGGAATAGTTGTTTAAAACATTTTATTTTACTATTTTATGTTTAGTACAAAATATATATATATATATATATTATATTATTATATATACGCTTCCAACACGTACCCGCTTCCTTATTTTTTTAAAAAACTCGTTTCCCCGCTTCCAAACGCTTCCGCTTCCGCGTACCCGCTTCCGATTCCATGCAGCTTAGTTAAACAAACTCGCCGGTAAGATTTGGGAGAGAGCAAACGAGAAGCGACGGTGGTCTGTGATCATTACCGGCGGGGAGATTTTTTCGAGGATGATCGGGCGACGTGCTGGAACGAATCGAGTCGGTATGAGAAGAGATGACTCTCTTCTGACTCGGTTTGTTGACTCAGTATTCTATTTCTTCCGATTGGCTGAGTTTGAGATCCTGTTTGTGCTCTTCATGCTTATAACCTACATCATCTTCAAAGATCTGGTAATTTTATCTGACTTTCGTGGCTAAATTCTTTTGAATCAGCTCGATTTCGACTCGGGATCGCATATTTCTCATGTTGATTTGCTTCTTTCTTTTTGCAGACGTCGAGGCCGGAGTATAATCGGATTCTTGTTGAGAAACCCGGTGGATCTGACATCTGGCCGTTCTGAATGATGAAAGAATTTGTTTTGAATGGTTAGTTCTTGGTCTCTGATTTGGGTGCAGCTCATGTTTCTGTAGGACGTGTGTGCTTGTAGACGGCTATGAACACTTATCTTTCTTTTCTTGTACATTTCAGTTTGTTCAATAGGTCAATGTGATTCTCCTTCGTTTGTGTTTTGAGTAATAAAGCGTTCGTGTTCGATCACTACTCTCACTTGGTTTATAGCTATGCTTATGTTCATCGTATTATCTGGGAATCACAAGATACTGATTTGTGTGGATGTAAATACATGGAATTTAGAAATAAGAATGGACTTAAGAAAGAAGTAGCCAGATAGCATTATCTAGGCTTGGATTGTTGTGATTTGATAGAGGGAGAAACAAGTCTTGAGATAGATAGCAGAGTAGAAAGCCAAGTACCAATTAGAGTATGAATAAGTTTAGCCAATAGTTTGGTTCTGTGTTGCTGCTGTTCTCTGCTTGTTGTTTTTTTTTTTCTCTCTATAACCTGGCCGAAGGACGTGGAGTGTCCCATTCGGTGGTAATGTGGTTACGGGAGATTTCCTTTAGAGATCGGCACCCACTCAGTGCCATGGTCAGCTCGAACTCATCACGTAGCATTTGAAGCACCTTTCTGACTCCAGCCTCTCCTTCAGCAGCCAATGAGAATACCACTGGTCTTCCAATCTGAGATTGAGAGGGAATAAAAATAATGTGTTATTAATTCAATGGTTTCAAGCAGCTTTCTGGTTAACGAGAATACGATGCTTACAAATATCCCGGAGGCTCCAAGTGCTAGTGCCTTGAAGACATCAGTGCCACGTCGAACACCACCATCCAAGAAGACAGGAATTCTTCCTTGTGTCGCTTTGACAACCTGAACACAGGAGAACAGAGCTGAAATTGTCAGATAAAAAGCACTTGTTGACAACACACGTTGTCATTTGTACTCTTGAATGATCTACCTCTTCAAGGGCTGAGATTGTTGCTGGGACATAGTCAAGCTGGCGAGCTCCATGGTTTGACACAATGATTCCGGCTGCACCGGCTTGAATCGCTATCCTTGCTGAACGAGGATAATTATAGTTGACGTGGTTAGGTGTTTTCTATTGAACTTAAGTGAAGCAGACATTTGTTAGTCAGATGGTAACTCACCATCCTCTCCTGTAAGAACACCCTTGACAAGAATCGGCAATTTGGTGATTGTCTGGAGCCACTGGACATCCTGTTCGTGTGAATGAAGTGACAACAGTCAAAAATCAAGTTTCTGATTTAAGTTGTTTATCTTTTAAACTACTCTGTTTACCTTCCAGCTTAAGGTACGGTCAATTTGACCAGCAACATATGAAGCCAAGCCAGAGTCATTGGCCTGCAGGTGTAAACATAACAAGCTCAGGAACACTTAGGACACATAAACATAACAAGTCTGCGGTAAGACTTGTCTTGTGAGATCATATTCAGACTGAAGTGCTAGATAGTGTCTGATGGATGCTTACCTCGTCCATCTTTCCGAGGTCAAGACCTTCAAAGTTCTTCAATGTCAGGTTAGGAGGCAAAGTGAATCTGTAGTAGAAGAATATTATACTTTTTAGCTATTTGTTTGCATATTAAAATCCAGTAAATGACTTGGCTTAACCTGTTCTTGATATCAGACTCTCTGCGGCCTAGCCGTGGGGTATCTACAGTGAGAGCAATGGCTTTGAACCCAGCCCTCTCAGCTCTTCTCACGAGCTGCTCAACCACATTCCTGTTCTTGTATACCTACTCCACGATCATAACGTGTGAACCATCAATTGTGACCAGGTTTTTCAGGATATACAACAAGCTCTGGGGATAACTTACATAGAGCTGGAAGAATCGGATCCCTGGCCCTGTGGAAGCAACCTCTTCAACGCTGGAAGTAGCCCATGAAGATAGTGTCTGAAACATCATGGAAGAAAATAACATAAACCAGAGACATGGGTATGCATGGGCCAAGGATTTAAAAGCTCCAAACACCGAAAACCAAAAAGGTTATAACAAATCTTGCTTTGGATGATATAACATACCATGATAGTTCCAGCTGCAGATGCAGCTCTAGCTGTAGCATATTCCCCTACATCAGTTTCGAACAGAGTCATTAGAACAAGCCTTATGGTCTGTCTCTAGCGATACTAAAGCAAGTTTTCACTCTCTACATAACTCAGTAATTACCATCAGGGTGAGCCATCTTTTGCATGGCAGTAGGAGCAACCATGATGGGCATCGAGATCTTGAACCCCAAGACGGTGGTTGTCATGTCAATCTTGCTCACATCAATCAGAATCCGAGGCCGAAAGCTATTAAACAGCCCAAGGTATGCATCACACCGCTTGTAAAAACCAATAACAATAGTATATCTTGTCTTAAGAAAAGAAAAACTCACAGGATCCTTGCGAAAGCATTTCTGTTCTCTTGAAGAGTCCATTGGTCCTCTGCACCAGATGCATAGTAGTCGTAAACCATCTTAGGCAACTTCTGCTTTGCGATTGCGTCATACTCGGTAACGTTAGTGATCTCCATCTTCTGAAGTGTGTCTCTGTCAAAAGAGCAAAAAAGCCCAGAGTTAGTTATCAGTTGTAATATTCAAACATAGTCATAGCTACGATTCTAGTCTCCAGAACACAAAACATTCTGGTTTTTGTTTTCGTATTAACAGAGAATCACACACACCTTGATGGGAATAGAGCTCTCGGGAGAGATGAAGAGTGTGAGTGGTAAGGAAATGCTTATTATATATCTCAACGTTTATACTTGGTTAGAGGTTAAATATTTGTGATGGATTAATTGGCTTGTGAATTTTTTTAACAGATTGAAAAAATGTTGGCAATGGAAAGAAACAATATGGATGAGAAGCTGGAGGTGAAGAATGGTCGAGGAGATACGGACAAAAATCAAATGGATTGTGTGTGTCTTAGATTTTTCTTACATATTATCGTGTTCTTAATCTCGACGAAAAAATAAGTAATTCGTAAACCAATTGTTTTTCTTTCTTTAAAAAAAGTGAATAAATCCAAGAGTTCCGAATTCGTGAGCCAAATTCTATTGGGCCTTTCGATGCGAGCAGAGCCCAATATGGGACTCACAAATTCGTAAGCCCAATGTTTTGTGCTCTTTTGGTGGCTAGTTTCTGTGAGATTTTGGCTGCTGTTTTGGGACTGACAGATTTGAAGTGTGTAGATTGTGGAAGGTAAGTGCAATGTAAGATTTTTCTGACTATGCTAGTTTCCGGGAACCAGATTTTAGTATTTATCGGTAGTGTAGAAAATCAACATCTATTGTACAAGCAAGAAGAATAAAATGAAAGGTAAAAGTAGCCAAATAGCATTACAGAGAATCTCTAGGCATGTTTTTTTGTGATCCGATATAGGGAGAAACAAGTGTTTTTGAGATAAAATAGCAGAGTAGAAGCAAAGGGATCAATCAGTATATGAATAAGTGATGCTCTGTGTTGTTGCTGTTCTCTGGTTGTTGTTTGTTTCTTCTCTATAACCTGGGCAGATGGCGTGGAGTGTCCCATTCGGTGACAATGTGGTTACGGGTGATTTCACTGAGTGACCGGCACCCACTTAGTGCCATGGTTAGCTCGAACTCATCACGCAACATTTGAAGCACCTTTCTGACTCCAGCTTCTCCTTCAGCAGCTAGTGCGAATACCACTGGTCTTCCAATCTGAGATTGAGAGCATTTTGTGTTATTTACATTTTCAATGGTTTTAAGCAGCTTTCTGGTAAATGGATATATGATTTGATGATGCTTACAAATATTCCAGAGGCTCCAAGTGCAAGTGCCTTGAAGACATCCGTGCCACGTCGAACACCACCATCCAAGAAGACAGGAACTCGTCCTTGTGTTGCTTTGACAACCTGAACACAAGAGAACAGAGATAAGGTTTTTGTAGATAAACACTTATAGAGAGAACAGAGATAAGGTTTTTGTAGTCGAGAATGATGATCTACCTCTTCAAGGGCTGAGATTGTTGCTGGGACATAATCAAGCTGGCGAGCTCCATGGTTTGACACAATGATCCCTGCTGCTCCAGCTTGAATCGCTATCCTTGCTGCACGAAGATAATTATAGTAGACCTTGTACTTGTCAGGTATTTCTTATGAAACTAGAGTGTTGGAAACATTTGTTTGTCAGATGGTAACTCACCATCCTCTCCTGTAATAACACCCTTGACAAGAATTGGCAAGTTGGTGATTGTTTGGAGCCACTGGATATCCTGTTTGTGTAGATGAAAGTTAGAGCAATCTGAATCATGCATGTTTCTGTTTCCAACTACTAGGTTTTGCTGTGCTATCTGATAATTTGTTATGTTTGCTTACCTTCCAGCTCAAGGTACGGTCAATTTGACCAGCAACATATGAAGCCAAGCCAGAGTCATTAGCCTGCAGGTGGAAACATAACAAGAACATAATCAGGAAACAAAACCGTATGCTTTATATCTTGTTTTTTAAGTGGATCATTGCCAGACTAAAGTAATGGATACTATCTGATCGATACTTGCCTCGTCCATCTTTCCAAGGTCAAGACCTTCAAAGTTCTTCAATGTCAGGTTTGGAGGCAAAGTGAATCTGTAGTAGAACACAAATCGTTAATCTATAATTTTTTTTGCTATATGTTTGCATATTCGAGTCTAACCAACTCTTATCACATTTCAATAGATGCAGCTTTACCTGTTCTTGATATCAGACTCTCTGCGACCTAGCCTTGGGGTGTCAACAGTGAGAGCAATAGCTTTGAACCCAGCTTTCTCGGCTCTTCTCACGAGCTGCTCAACCACCTTCCTGTTCTTGTATACCTACTCGGAACAATCATAACGTGTGACCATCAAGTGTGACCAGGTATATCAGGATTGTTCATCAAGCGACTTACATAGAGCTGGAAGAATCGGATTCCTGGCCCTGTGGAAGCAACTTCTTCAACACTGGAAGTAGCCCATGAAGATAGTGTCTGAAACATCATGGAAGAAAAAGAACACAAACCAGAGATATGGTTATGCATGGATTGTGGATTAAGCAGCTCTAACACTTAAAAATCTTCCTTTCAATATAACATACCATGATGGTTCCAGCAGCAGAGGCAGCTCTAGCCGTAGCATATTCCCCTGCATTAGTTTCCATTAGCGTAAGCCTTAGTCTTTGTCTCTAGTGATAACTAAAGCAAGTTTTCACTCTCTAGAAATGACTCAGTTTCTATAAAATGTTTCAGGGAAAAAGCTAAAGTCTTTTACCATCAGGGTGAGCCATCTTTTGAAAGGCAGTAGGAGCAACCATGATCGGCATCGAGATCTTGAACCCCAAGACGGTAGTCGCCATATCAATTTTGCTCACATCAATCAAAATCCGAGGCCGAAAGCTGTTAAAACATCATCCCAAGGTATCTTGTGAAAACCAATAACAAAAAGTGTATCTTATCTTAATAAGAAAAAAGAAAAACTCACAGGATCCTTGCAAAAGCGTTTCTGTTCTCTTGAAGAGTCCATTGATCTTCTGCACCAGATGCATAGTAGTCGTATGCCATCTTAGGCAACTTCTGCTTTGCGATTGCATCATACTCGGTAACGTTAGTGATCTCCATCTTCCCAAGTGTGACTCTGTCAAAAGAACCAAAAAGCCCCGAGTTAGTTATCAGTTGTGATATAGCTACGATTCTAATCTCCAGAACACAGAATCTTACACACCTTTGATTGGAAACTCTCTCGAGAGAGGAAAAGTGTGACTGCTAAGGAAAGCTTATATCATATATATCCAACTTTTATACTTTGTTAAATGTTTAATATTTTGTGATGTAGTAATCTGTAACAGTTGAAAAACTTATTGGCAAGTGGATTATAATATGGATGAGAAGTTGGAGGTGAAGAATGGTTGCGGAGATACGGACAAAGATTAGATGGGTTGTGGTCTAATCCACAAGCAACTTGTGTGTTCCTTACATTTTCTTTCATATTATCGTTCTCAATCTCGAGGAAAAATAATTATAATAATTTTGATGAAACTGAAACAAACCAAAAGTGCGCGAGGTGACCAAATTCATGGGCCTGACGAATCATAATAATAGTTAAAAAGTACAAACTTATTTGGGCTTTACATGTGAGAAAAAGCCCACAATATGAGATACGTCGAGGAGGATAATAAAAGTAGGACCCACTTAAAGTCGTCACCGTCGCTCTTATTTAGCTGTTGTTGAGATTTGAGAAGATTGGTAAAGTGGAAAAAATACTCAGTGAAGGAGAAGAAGACGATAGAAATAGAAACAAAAGCACTCGGAAAAGTGTATAATCAGGCGACAACTTTTATTCGTAATCGGAGATCATAATAATCGGTTTCAATGGCGGATCGGAGCAAAGGCTTTATGAGAGATGAATTCGTGACCTATGCTTACATTCTTCTCTATATCGCCCTTTCTAGTGGTCAAATCTTCTTCAATAAGGTTTAACTTAAGTCTCACAATCTATATTTCCCTGGATCTATGTTCTCGCATCGTATTTGTTTTGTGCTCTTTCCGATCGCTAGTTTTCGTAAGGAATTGAGCTGGTTCTGTACAATGTACTGTGCTAGTTTCTAGGAAGTTGACTAGCAGATTTTAGAATCCATGGATAGTGCTGGTTTTTTTGTTTGATCGTGTTGCGTTTGCTCTTGACCTCTCTGTTATTGCTTATGCATCAGAGTTCACCGTTTTTCAAATTGTAGCAATTGACGTTTCACGCGTTGTGTTTTTTTCTCTTTTCCTCAGGGTATGGTTGTTAATGGAAAGTTTGCTTCATGACTAACGTTCTTGTTTTTGAATTGTTCTGCTGCAGTGGGTTTTGTCATCTAAGGAAATTAATTTCCCTTATCCTCTTGGATTGACTTTACTCCATATGATCTTTTCCTCTGTCTTGTGCTTTCTTCTCACCAAAGTTCTTAAGGTAGTAATCTTGCAATAAATGATCTTTTTCTTTTTGTACACAAGTTAAGACTGTAGTGATGCTAACTTTTGGTCCCTTTTTTTCCATACGAAGATCGTGAAGGTTGAGGAAGGAATGACACTAGAAATGTAAGGAAGAAAGAGACTTCGTAAGCAATTTGATTTTGGAGTAGTCGAAAATACCCATAATTTTAATATCTTTTAACTATTTTTATCAATGTAGTAATAACTCACTTTATGTACTCAGATATGTTACATCAGTTATTCCAATAGGTGCAATGTTTGCGATGACCCTCTGGTTGGGAAACACTGCCTACCTATACATATCAGTTGCATTTGCGCAGATGTTGAAGGCTATAAGTAGGGAACTGTTCATGCTCTTGGTTCCTCATAAGTTTTATGTTTACTTTTTATATCTGACTAAGGATACCAATATATTCTTCAATCATACTTGCAGTGCCTGTTGCTGTGTTTATTCTTGGAGTAGCTGCTGGACTTGAAATGATGAGCTGCAGGATGCTTTTGATAATGTCTATCATAAGTTTTGGTGTTTTAGTAGCTTCTTATGGGGAATTAAACATCAACTGGATTGGAGTGGTTTACCAAATGGGTGGTGTTGTTGGAGAAGCCCTTAGGCTAATCTTCATGGAACTTCTTGTCAAGAGAAAGGGCATCAAGTTAAACCCAATCTCTCTTATGTACTATGTGAGTCCCTGCAGGTAAGTAAAATCGAAGAAGAAGAAGAAGCCATCTCAATTCTCTCATTATGTAAGCCTAAGGTTTACTTTATCTTTATGTGCCTCCTGTTGCAGTGCTATCTGCTTGTTTGTGCCGTGGATCTTTCTAGAGAAATCAAAGATGGATGGCAATGGCCCATGGAACTTCCACTTTGTAGTGTTGACCCTGAACTCCCTCTGTACATTTGCCCTCAACTTGTCGGTTTTCTTGGTGATTTCTCACACGAGCGCTCTCACTATCCGAGTTGCTGGGGTTGTCAAGGATTGGGTGGTTGTCTTGGTCTCAGCTCTTCTCTTTGCCGACACAAAACTCACAATCATCAATCTTTTCGGTTACGCCATTGGTAAGACAAAACTCCGCAGATACCAATTGGAGTTAAAAATGAAAGAGTTTTGCTTCTCTTACATTGTGCTATGTGTTCACATGCAGCCATTGCCGGTGTAGCGGCTTATAACAACCATAAGCTGAAGAAGGAAGCATCCAAAGTACCCACAGAAACTCCAGGAGATGGTGAATCAATACCGTTGGTGTCACAGACCAATACTAATTCAGAGAGATGATGATGTCCGAGAAAATGTAGTTTCTCATCATCAGTCTTGAGGTAATCTTTGATTGTTTGTTTTGTTACATGTACCGTCCGAATTATATAACTTATACAAAACTCTGTACCAGGAAAAAACAAAAAAGATTAAATCAATTTGTTCAATTCTCATAATTTTATTCACATTTTGTAGGTTATTAATATGAACGGTGAACGAATATTTATCATTCACATAAGGCAGAAAAAAAAAGTAAATTTTGTTTTATTTTTTTCCTTTCCAAGAAGTAAATATTTTCTGAATATATCAATCAGCTTAAATTTAATAATTAAGAAATATCACTACACGTAGATAAATCGTGTACCGACTTTTCTATTGGTTTAAAAGATGGGCCTTTCAGGCCCAGTAACAGTATTTCCTTTTTTGTTTACCTACATGGAATTTATATTAAAAAATAAAATAAAAAAAATGGAAGAGGGGTAAATAAAAATCGCGAAGGGATTGTGGGGTTTGTTGCTGGGCGGGTCTCTTCCCTCGGCAGTTACCTTCATCGAATTCGATCTTCTTCTTCCTTCCCCAACTCCTCAAAAATCGTTGAAAATCTTCCATTAATTTCGACTAGAAATTGATGCGAAGAAGCCCCAAAACCGTGAATTAGAAGAGAAAAGAGAAAAAGCTCGGAAAACGCGTGGTGGCAAAAGATGCGATCGCAGCTGTTGGCTTGGCCGCGGCGGCGAGTCAGCGATGAGCGGTTGCTTCGTTGGTTTTCTCCGTCGGAGAATAACCGATTCTGAATGGGATTTAAACTGCAGATGAGCTGGATGCCGAGTCTACTGAGTCAAAAGCGTAGGAATGGTCCTCCCTTAGGGTTACGGAATCTCGGCAACACCTGTTACCTTAATAGTGTCCTTCAGTGTCTCACTTTCACTCCTCCTCTCGCTAATTTCTGCCTTACTCATAAACACTCCTCTCACTGTACGTTTCTCCTCTACTTTAGGGTTATCGAGTTCTCTAATTGTTTCATTTTGTTGTTTTGTATCTCTGACGCTTTTGGTTGGTGATTAGGCGACTCATATGTGGATGGGGAGAGGAAACGGGATTGTCCATTTTGCATAGTAGAGAAAAGAATAGCAAGGTCTCTTAGTGTGGATCTAACAACCGATGCGCCTAACAAGATTTCAAGCTGTATCAAAATTTTTGCTGAGCATTTTAAGCTTGGGCGTCAAGAGGATGCTCATGAGTTCTTGCGGTATGTCATTGATGCATGCCACAATACGTCTCTCCGCCTCAAGAAGTTGAGGATCAAGGGTAATGAGCCGTTTAATGGCAATACTGTCGTGAAGGAGATTTTTGGTGGTGCTTTGCAGAGCCAGGTCAAGTGTTTGTCATGTGGTGCCGAGTCTAATAAAGCCGATGAGATTATGGATATCAGTCTTGAAATTTTGCATAGTAGCTCTGTCAAGGAGTCTATGCAAAAGTTCTTTCAATCAGAGATTTTAGATGGCAACAATAAGTATAAATGCGAGACGTAAGTGATTTCTCTTCTTTCTGACTCTTTCAGTTTGTGGTTCTGTTTTTCTTACTGAAATTTTTACTTCGATTTAGCTGTGAAAAACTGGTGACGGCGAGGAAGCAGATGTCTATACTCCAAGCGCCTAATATCCTTGTTATCCAATTGAAAGTAAGTGTATCATGTTCTGTTTACAAAAGGCGACAATTATTTTAGATATATAATATTTTTAATGTGTTTTGGTAAATTGGGTTTGCAGAGGTTTGGGGGTATTTTTGGTGGGAAGATTGATAAAGCCATTTCATTTGGTGAGATTCTGGTTCTCTCGAACTTCATGAGTAAAGCAAGCAAGGTACAAGATTCTGACACTTTCAATTTACTTTAAGTGTGTTGCCAGTTTCTGTTAGTGTGCACTGGTTCTACATATCTAGTTAGAGGCATGTCAGAAAGTTTAGGGTTGTAGTGCATACTGAATAGTTTCGTGCAGCGTTTAACTGGATTTTCAACCTGATTGAGCCTTTCCACATGATTTGCATATATCGAATGAATTTGCAACGTTCATAGTTTTTACGTTGGCTAAGTTTTATCCTTTGAATTACTGTCCAATAATCTGACAGGACGGATATTCTTGTCACGCAGAAGCCTGATATCACCTTTTAAATATTGCTTGATTATATCTGGTTAGTTAAGAATGCGACAAGTCGGAAAAAAAAATTTAAGGTTGAGACAAGGTTTAGTCAAGCAGCTTAGTTGGCTATTATGCTTCCAGTCTATATCATGTTTGATCTAGGAAACAGCCGGAAACTCGAGAAGGTCGCCACGTCATAGGCTGTTAAACATTTTGATTTGATGCTTCCAAGTTCTTTTAAATGAAATTCAATATGATTTTCAGTCCCTGTGTCATACCTTTTGGATCATCATAGTGCTCTAGCTTGTGAAAATTTTCTAGCTCTATGTAACTGTACTTCCCAATTCCTACTTTTTGCTTATCGGTTTACTCTATTAAAAACTGCAGGACCCTCAACCGGAATACAAGCTTTTTGGGATAATTGTGCACTCAGGATTTTCTCCTGAATCTGGGCACTATTATGCATACGTTAAGGTTCTTTTCTGTCCTTTTTCAATTTCCATGCAACCTGAACTCTTGAACTACTTGCTGATATCTTAACTGCCTTGTGTAGGATTCCTTGGGTCGATGGTATTGCTGCAATGATTCGTTTGTCTCACTCTCCACCTTGCAGGAGGTTTTATCAGAGAAAGCTTATATCCTGTTTTTCAGCCGTTCAAACCAGAGGCCAGCGTCTGCTAAAACTCTGGTAACAACATCCAATGGGACTACATCTCATGAAGTTAATGGCTGTGAGACATCAAATCCCCAGAAGTTTATTGGGCCCCTTAATGGTGTCAACATGAAACCTCAAGCCGAGCAGTCCTTCCAGAAGGGTAACCTGGCTTCTTCAAAGCCCCATAAATTTATTGGGCCCAAACCACGAGCCGAGCAGGCCCTCCAAGAGGATAACCTTCTTTCTTCCAAAGTTGAAAAGGCGCCTTTAAAGCCACATGCGAAAGTAATTATATCTGTCAACCTTGGTGCCAAAAGGGTCTCTCCTTCTGTCAATGGTAGACTTTCTTTCCACCAAGATGAGAACATAGCCCCAAAGTCAAACAAAGAGAATAGTGTATCAGTTTTGCCGTCTAGAGTCTGCTCTGGCACGGAGAGGAAGTTTGGTACTGAAAATGGTGGCAATGGAGTTAAAGAAAACGGCAGTGCACCTGGTAGTAGTAATCATAAAGTGACATTGCATCCCCAAGATCGTAGTAATGGCTCCAGCAATGGGGGTGATCACCACAAGGATAACTTACATCCATGTGGAAGTAATGGCTCACAAAATGGAACTGTTCACCAGGAAATTGAGAGGAACGGTGTTAGTACCACCCAATCCAAAGGTTTGTGTTCTTCAACAAATGAAGACCCCTGCATTTTGCTTAGAAAAGACGAATCATCTCGGAAGGAACTTGAAGCAATCAAAGAGAGGTAACTTCGGTTTTGTGCCTTTGCTTAATACTCACGATTATATCTGATGCCATAGCTAACCTAGAATTGATTGTGTTGCATATTCCTCAGCCTGAAGAAAGATGCGTTGTCACATCTACGGTCATGCGGATGGTATGACAAGGTACACATCTCCATGCGAGCCAAGAAGAGATTGCGTACAGAGCAATCAGGAGGAGAAGATGGTAACGACTTGAAGTAAGTGAAAAATGACTTTTTGCTGTTCTCTACTATCTTCTCATACTTTTTCTCTCTGCCTCTTAGTTGAGTATAATAGCTAGAATTTGGACCTCTTTTGGCTTTGTGCTTCACTATAATCGTCTTATTTTTTACTCATGTTGTGGATGGCTGGACCTTGTGCAGGAGGTTGTTGATTGAAGATGTGAAATCAAGTTTAAAATCGCAGATTCCAGAGGAATTGAAAGCAGATCTGGTAAATCGTATATTTGAAATTAGTAAGAAGAAGTACTCGTGAACCATTGCTTTTGCTTAAACCAAAATGACTCAAATCTCTGGATTCTTGAAGCCTCTACTTGGTTCCCTTCATACACACTCCTCAGTCCTCGTTTTCACCATTGGTTAACCATCCGACTGGTCTGATACAGAGAGAGCAGATCGACATTTTTTCCTGCCACTGTGAGGGTGAAGTGAGTTTTTTTTCTTTTCTATGATTATTACATTTTTGGGAGAGAGTAAAAGTAATTATCGGAAAAAGAAAAAAAAAAAAACAGATCTCATTCTGTATAATATGAAGCCTTCTTATTATTTTACCTCTTATCGATGAAGCTTTACACAATATACAAAGTCCTTTGGGAAATTAATAGTATAAGAACGTTCTTGAATTTGTGTATTTGCGTGTGGTTTGTCGATATGCATTAACGTCGACTTGGTTTCGTTCCAGTAAAATATATCGATGATTGGTTGGTTGTACATAAAAGGATCGATCATATATAGGTGATTCAAGAATGCTAATAAACAGAAGTGATCATAACATATAATTCAAGAATGCTAGCGGGAAAACATTCAACAACGAGAAGTAGATAAAAAAAACTCTGATGCTGAAGAGATTACAAACAAATCTTCTTCTTTGGTATTATTGAAAAAGAGAAAGAAAAAAAAAATGCATTTTGGGATGGCAATTGAATGCTTTAAGAAGATGAGACTCTGTTGATCTTGGCGTAGTGAGCAAGAGACCAAGAGGAGGAGCCTGGACAAGAAGAAGAGAGTCTCTCTGCAGTGGCTCTGACTAATTCATCAAAGTCAAAGTCTTCCTCGGAGATTGTTGTCAACATGTTCTTGAATGGTTCTCTTGTCGCCGATATAAACTTAGCCGGAGCTACCTCAGTGATAAACCTGGAGGTCTTAACAGTTTCCATTGCTGATTGAGATCTTCTGAATCGAAAAGAGAGTGTTGGGAGAAGAAAGCTTCTTCGTTGCGCATGGGAAGGGGAAAAAGATAGAAATGAGAGATTGTTGACAAGATTATTTGTGCAGAGTTTTGGTGAGAAGTAAAGTGAATTTATATAGAGTGTGAAAGTATTAAAGTACTTGCATGATTGCATCTACAAAAGGACAATAATATATGTGGAAGAGTACTTACACTCCCGACAAAATCAAACCTAATTTTCAATTAGTTGATATTATAAGATTAGATATGCAAATTAATCAACCACCATATTTCACACACACAAACAAAAACTTGTTCTTTTGTCACCGAGCTTAATTATTTGGTAATCTTCAATGTCAAGTATCAATGTACCAAATTACAACCATGCATCTCTGGCTTTGAACCTATATGATGAAGAGATCATTCGACAATACAACATATAAACACAACCAGAACAAAGATCAAATCCAGATTATATCTATAAACACAAATGGTACGGATGCAAAATCAATTGATAGGTACGAAGTTGCTTTCAAAAGGGACGACGGTGTGGGGGCTTACATATATAATTTTAGCAAAAGTAAATTGGCGACAACTATCACCTTTTTAGCTTTCAATTATTTGTTGTTCTTTTTATCTTATTGATCGGTTCTCAACTTCTCATAGCTATTTTCATCTTATATTTCCCAAGACTACAGAATACAGTATTTCTTTTCAGATTTAGATAAGGTGGCTCAATGATTTAAAAAAAAAACAAAAAAAAATGATTAATTAAATATCCCAGATTCGTTTTTTCTAATCCTCTTAATGTAAGGCTGTGTGATATGATACGTACCCGTTAATATCTATATAATAATTTTCTAAAACTCTGGAAAAAGATAAAATTTGACAGCAACATGCATATATAATGGTAACAACATATCATAGCAAAATGAGTTGGCCAACCAAAGATTTGCCAAACTTTTTAGCATTAATTCGTGAAGATGACATATACATACATACACTACCGTCTCTTACTAAATTCAAAAGCTAATTTGTAGGGGCTGAGAGTATTTAGATTTTCTTTGTTCTAGTATAAAAAAGTTTGCTTCTTCTTTTTCTGAATAATTATTTTGCTAGTTTTATGTTCATCCAACTAAAAATAAATTAACGTCAAAATTTTGGTAAGTGATTAGTTTCCAAATTAGACATGTTCATTTCACTTTTGACGTTATTTTGATGAATCAAATATTAAACTATGCTATTACAACTCCAATGGATGTTACCAAACACTTATGACTTACCAAGTTTAAGTTAATCTCTTAGAAGAAGAAAAATACAACCACATATTTAATGCCCCGATAGGACAATTCAGGTAACATAGTTGTTAGACGTCGTACCATGTATTGTAGCATTTAAAATTGATACGTTGTTATAGAAACCACACAAAGAAAAGGACCACCTCTATTCTATGGCGGAGAGTGGTGGCCGCGCCAATACGGCGTCGCATGGGACCATTTTGCTACTTTAAGTTTTCCGCCACCGTCTCATTTACATGCAAAAAAAGGTTTATTTTGGAATCTTCCTAATAAACCATGATGAAATTTGACTAGTGACGGTAATTCACTACATAATAAACCAAATTCACTTTACTTGTCCTGTGAACTATGAACTATATTCTTTTAGCTTATGGAATGAATCTTCTTATCAGGTTCTTGATTAATGATGACACTGTAATTGTAGATATTGATTGCGTGTTCGCCTTTTGTTCTGCAAGCAAATTTGTGAACAAAAAGCTTGAAAAAAACTTCTAATAGCTATGGAAAGAAAGCTTAGATGAGTCTTTATGTTTGCACTTAGTTTTCTTCTCTTGTTTCTACAAGTACACTGTGAACAAAATATACAATGCGAATTGATATGACAATTGACATCCATTACTGAGACCTTTTTCTTATTCATATGATTACTTCATTGAGGACTTTGAATCAAAGCACAGAATGTGAAAATCTAAAACAGCAATAGCATTATGGTCCTGATTCAGAATAATCATACAATTCAAATAAAAACCAACAATGATGAGCAAATCTCAGAGTTCATAGACCTTCAAAGAAACGCAAATGGTCATCGAATGTCTCAGCATGCCTTATCTTACTGATCGACCCATCTTCTCCAACCTGCAAAAACAAACAACACAAATTGAAGAAAATAAGTTGACAATTTCTCTCGGGGTCTTGATTCTCCTATGATTTCCCCAGAAAACAAGAACAAGAAAATGTGTTGGTACCCAGTATTCCGGAGGACGCATCTTGAGATTGTAAGTGGAAGCCATGCTCATACAGTACGCACCAGCGTCATGAACCACCAGACCAGCTCCCTGTAATGAAACTCATTAGATTCCACATTACTTGAGCTGCCAAACAGAATCAGATCCTAATCATACCTGAGGAGGAGTGGGAAGCTCTCTGTCTTTGCCCAAGAAATCAGCAGATTCACAGACAGGACCCACTACGTCGAATTTGGTAACCTCTGCTTCAGGCGGTGTAGGAGAGACCAACTCAATATGCTTTTGTGTTAAGAAACAAGAACAAGAGCATGGATATTTAGCTTACTCCAAGGGACCAAAATCTGCAGATGCTGTTGTCAGAAGCATATTTGTTTTTTTTACCTGATAAGCATCATAAAGACTGGGACGGATAAGCTCAGCCATACTTCCATCAATCACTATGAAGTTTTTAGTTCCATTCGTCTTCACACCAGTTACATGATTGACGAAACAGCAAGTGTTTGCAATCAGAGATCTCCCTGGCTCGATTATTAGATTCAGGTCTCGTGAAAGAACAAGCTCTCTTACCTGTAACACACACATCAAGGATTGTAAAAAGTTCTACCGTTCCAGTACTTTTGAGATCAAATGAAGGAAAGAGTTTTAAGATGTTGTTCTTACGGTGTTGATGAGATCCATGGGTGTGGGAAGGACAGCGCCGGCATGATAATAATCTATCCCTAAACCACCACCAATGTTCAAGTAACTAACTTCAAAACCTTGACGCCGGATCTCATCAATGTATTCAATCATGAGAACAGCAGCATCTCTGAATATATCCACCTGGAATAAACAAAACATACGCAAATATGTAGAGCTCAAGAGTCGAGATCTAAGAAAAACATGGGAAAAATTAAACAGAGAGAGATCCATATTCATCTGATTACATCAAAACACAGCTTTTAGCAACTATATACAATCGAAGTTACCTTAGTAATGGTAGAGCCTAGATGGCAATGAGCTCCAACAAGCTTCAGCTCTTTGGGATGTGCCTTCACCTGATCCAGAAACCATTGAAGCTTCTCGTTCCTGATACCAAACTTTGAGTTCTTGTTCCCAGTAGCTACATATGGATGCACCTGAAAAATGTAACCAAACATAAAAGCTCATTAACTAATATCCAAGCCCAATTATGTTTTACATGATGCTAAAATAAACCATACCTGAGGATCGACATCAGGATTGATACGCAGCAGTACATTGACCTGCTTACCGGAAATTCTTGAAGCTTCCACAATGTTATTCAAGTCAAACTCACTATCCACATTTACGAAAACACCTTCCTGAGCAGCTAGAACTAAATCTTCCAACAACTTGCCATTTCCATTGAAAATGCACCTTTTCATTTTATACAACAAATACATAGAGTCAGCAATTACACCAAATCATATTCTGATTCCATCAACAAGTCAAACACTTTATTATTGAGATGAAGTCAACTCCAAGTTAAAGCTCTCTAAATCAGATACAGGGCAATAAAGAATGTTACTTTGTGGGATCGAAACCAGCAAGAAGAGCAAGTCTGAGCTCATTTCCACTGACGAGGACAGCACCACAGCCTAAAGACCTCAAATGCTCCAAAATCTTGAGATTGTTATTAGCTTTGATAGCGTAACCAATCACAGACGTCACACCTTCCAATGCTTGTTTATAAGCCTCGAGGTTTCTCGTGATCTGAGGTTTGCTATATAAGTAAAAGGGTCTTCTCTCGACTGACTCCATAATATCCTCAACTTTAGTTCCTTCGCAATAGAGGAACCCATCTGATGATTTCTTGAAACAGTGGTCGAACTTCGTGAGGGTTTTGGAGGAGTTTTGGGTACTCGAAACGGCTTTCACGGAGAGGCGTGTAAGTGGCTTCAATGTGGATTTAAGAGACAAGATAGGGATGATTCTGGAGAGTTGTGAGGTTTGGTTCTTCAGTTGGTATTGATTTAGAGATGATGAAGGTTGGGAGAGACATTGAGTAGCTGCCGCCATTCTCAGGGTTTTGTGGCTTTGATTCCCAAAAATGAGGTGAAGAAGAAGACTTCTCAAAAGCTGTTTCGTTGAATTGTGTATACAGTCGAGCTTGTTGGGTCTCTGAATTGGGCCGGCCCATCTTCAAGGCCTTGTCTTTCTGACTTCATCCCTCACAATAACATATAGTTAACCGAATGTCAAATAATAAACAAGAACAAGGGTTTCAAGAACAAGGGTTTCAAGAACAAGAATGTAATGCAAAGTTAGACTGGTGATAGTTGAACCGGCGGTGTGTAACAAAAATTTGGATAGAACAAATGGGAAAAAGATTAATAGCGACTGTTTGAATTTAAATTTACAACTAAATTTTTAGATTAATCATTTTGCCTCATATGTAATTTAGCTTTGTCAAATGTATTGACATAGTACTCATCTTCATAGGGAAAGGTGATTGTAATTGACATAGTACTCATCTTCATAGGGAAAGGTGATTGTAAATGTGATCAAATCAGTGGATTCTTTCCTTCAGCTTTCGGATGGTTTGTGTTACTTATTGTTCGGACATGTTAGTTTTGTGTCGGTAGTCACTTGTGTTTCAAAACTGTAAATCAATTTGGAAATTTAGCCCTATTAAACATTGTTGGTGCACCACTCTAGGTATAGATTAAGGAGATTGTAGTATATAAATTAAAGAAGTACTCAAAAAAAGAAGAAGGAAGAGGCAACCATATCGCTTGTTTGGTAATTTTACAATGTGATCACATATGTAACATTTATGTTCATACATTATAGCTTCGCTTTGGAAATATAGATTGGAACCAACCTTGTTGTTATTCACTATAGTATCTTTTATATAGGATCTATGAGTTTTTATACCTCCTAGATGAAGATGAAGCAAATACAAAAAAAAAAAAAAAAAAACTGGAGTTTCAGCCAACAAAAATAAAATCACAAGGTTGATTCAAAAGATGAAAAATATCTAACATATAATAATCTGCTAGTGAGTATTTTCTTTTCCTGAAAACGTCGTGTAAACTAGACACGATCCATGTGGATAGAATATAAATTGCCGACGCTAAGAGAGTCTAGAACTTGTAAATCTTGTTGAAGAATGCTTATACGTATTTATTTTAATTTATACATACATACAATCATAGACATCTATAGAATCTGATATTATAATACTATTCCCTTTTCCCACTGTAAAGACCATTCTCTTATTATATTACCAAAAATGAAATTCCTCTACTGGTTTCTACGACCATCTATAAATATATATTTCTTTTGTCTTACTTAATTACAAATTTATGCGGCATAAAGTAGTGGAACGAATATAAACTATTCGAATTAAATCGGGAAATGTGGTCAGCCCATCGATCGATTAGATTATATTCTTTGATCCCATCTTTTAGATTCTATTCTTGAATTAGGGTTTTGGTCAAAAATCCCAGCCATGCATGCATATGGAAATGGAATCTAGAAATAAAACAATATAATATGTATACATATTTTGTCGCATTTGTTCGTATGCCTATAAATACCGACACATCTCGACTAGGCACCACAACACAAGAGTCAAGAAAGAGGTAACAAATTTGAAATAAGTAAGTAGCTCGTGATCGAAAGAAGATGATGGGAGTCTTTGGTTGTATCAGAGGGTCTTGCATGAAGGAATAAAGAATGGAATTGAGCCAAGGATGACTTGCCGGTTTAAACACAACCGGTTTATGACCATTGATTTGGTCTCATTCACAATCTGTTGATTCGTGTCTGGCAAGTTGACCTTGGCTCTGCTTCGTTCTCTATTCTTCCATGTTAGATTCCAGATATATATGTACACACTCGTAAATATATAAACTTAGTCATGGATCGGACTTATCATGTCATATACTATATATATATATATATATATATATATATATATAAACATATAAACCCTAAAAATGTTACTTATAATTTGTCTCAAAATTATTCGCCTCGTAAATTATTAGTCTTTCATGATTCGTATGTTCTTTTAACTTCAATTCACTTCTTCTTGTAAATCTGAGAAACTTTCTTGGTTAGATAAAACAAAACAGATAAACTTTTTCGTTTTTTTTCTTTCACTTTGAGCTTTTCGTTAAAACTTAGAATAACATCACTTTATAAAAGTATTATATACTGTCTTTTTTTCTTATTCCCCTTATCATCCAGAAAATAGAATACTATAAGGGAATATATATATATATATATATATATATATATATATACACTTTTGGGAAACTATATCAAGCAAATGTTAGAAGTGAAATCACTTGGGAAAAAAGTGAGTTCGCTTATTAATAGCTACGTTTGAGCCTTCTAGTTATCAATTCTACACTTTGGAAAGCTTATAGGTAAAAGTGTAGAAATTGATTTAAATGCCCTTAATACATTTGATTTAAAGAAATGACATTGTTTTTTTTAATTACCGTTCGAAATCCTCAGGTTTGCGTGGTAATTTCAGCAAATAACATGGTATTTTCTCCTGAAAACACACTGTTTAATCATAAAGCACGTTCCCGTACACATTACTCATTAAATATAATTGTTATTCTTTAACAAAATATGTGTACGGTGCAGTGCCATTAACAAAAGTTGAGATATATATAATATATATCTAATATTACTTTGTTTTCTTTTCTCAAAATCCATAAATTTTAATCACGAGGTAGATATAGTTTGATACTCGTATGCTGCTTGGAGATGCGATGCGTGGATTATGCAACGGTCGATACTAAAAATCTCATTTTGATGCGATAACTAGTGCTACGAAATCAATACTATCCACATTTCAACTATTCAGATTCTATTCAATGATCTGTCTTAAGGGTGCTCAAAATTCTTTTGGTCGTCCCAAACCATTTACATTTTACTATTATAAACTCCAATTAAGCGTACATATATAATGTTCTTCAAAATAACTTAGGTAAAGATGTGAACAAGGATGGAAGTCTCTTAATTGTTGTGCAGATGGTCCTTCCAACATGTGCAAATTAAATACACCGGACCATTCATGTGAATGAATTTTCGTAACAAGGATTGAGAGAACATAGCCCCATAAACCCGAAAATCATAAATGAACGGAGAAAGATTAATACATAAACAACCTATCTATAATTAATTACTAAGGCCTAATCAAATATCAAACTCTCTTCGTTTCTGGTATGTAATACCAAATTTGTAAAAAAAATGATAAAATAGAGCAGACAAAACAAGAGAGTCACCTAAAACTGAGATTGGTGACCTCATATCATCACATGACTATATTGAATGCTTGAGCGACTGTTTTGTCTGTTATGACTTGAAACCCTTGGACATTATAAAAGACAAAGATCTCTCTTTCCTTAAACACCAAAAAACAAAATCATGGACAAGACTGAACAAACAGCTATTGACGGCTCAGCTTTAGAGCTTAACAGCACTGAGAAAACGGTAGAGGCGGTCTTGCGAGTAGCATCAATGGCTCTAAGTATTACGGGTCTCGTCATCATGATCAAGAACTCTATCTCCAACGACTTTGGCTCTCTTTCTTACTCAAATCTTGGAGCTTTCATGTTCATCTTCTTCTATCTCTCTTTCTCTTCTTGCTTCACTAGAGAGTAATCAATCAATGAACCTTTTCTTTTGTTTTTCCCTGATTATAGGTATTTGGTGAGTGCTAATGGCGTTTGTGCTACCTATTCTCTTCTTTCTGCTCTCGCAATATTAGCCCTTCCGTGTCCAATAAGCAAGGTCCAAGTCAGGACATTATTCTTGCTAGACCAGGTGGTCACATACGTGGTTCTAGCGGCTGGAGCTGTATCTGCAGAGACGGTTTACTTAGCATACTATGGAAACATACCCATCACTTGGAGCTCTGCTTGTGACTCCTATGGAATCTTCTGTCACAAGGCATTGATCTCGGTTGTGTTCACATTCGTTGTCTCCCTTCTCTACATGTTGCTCTCGCTTATCTCTTCCTATAGACTCTTCAGCAGATTTGAAGCACCCTAAGCCGCGAAACCTAAGAACACAAAGGCAAAACAAGAGTGACAGAGGAAGAATTAGATATATATCCTGTTTGGTTGAAGTGAAAGAGTACGTTGAATAAAAGAGTAACTGAATATTAAGGTTTTTCGCTAATTACATTTTTCTCTTAAAAACATTAAAATACACATTTTCTTTCAGAAACTAGATCATATTAAATTCGTTATTTTTCTCGAGATTCGAACTTGAAACATGGTTAAATATTTTTATCAATAGCTTAACATGATTAACTATGTTTTAAGATAGTCTTTTTGGATTTAATCGGTTGAGCTATTGTCATCTTCAAGGTTAAATATTTTTCTATTGCAAGTCCTAATCTAATAAGACAAATGAGAGAATTTAACTTTCTCCAACCATCTTAACAAACTTTGAAACAAAAAGCTTGAACGGGTTTTATTCCTCAACGAGCTTGGTTTTCTAATCACTATAACACTAATCACAAAGCCCATTTAACAGATATGGGCTTAGATTGCCTGATAAGAGACTGGGCCGAGATTTACTTAGTCAACTACAAACGTCGGCTGTTTGACTTTCGGGAGAGTAATTGTAGATTGAAAGGATGTGTTTGTGTCCCTTTGTTTGTTGGTGGGGGTTATGTTAATAATTCATAAGTAACGTTAATTATATTTTAATAGCTACTAGTTAGATATTTATTTATATACTTAAATTTAAAAGTGGGCATAATTCAATGTATTTGAAAACCCATATGTTATGTTGTTTTATTAAATAAAATGGTTGTAGGCTCCAAGGTGATGATTAGGACCTTCTGTTATATGTTTTGATCTGAATGAACGTTGGTACATGTGATATGACCATGTCAAACTTGTTGGATTAATCAGGTAGCTTGATTAGGACACACTAACTATAATTAATAATTGAAACACATTTAATCATCGTATTATAAAAGAATTCAAACTAAGATGCATTGCATTTGCACCTCAAAAGGGACTAACTATGGTTTACACGCCAATGCATATTTTCTGGACGTTAACATGACTCCGATCCATTAATAGTATAGGCTTGAAAAGAAGAATTGTAGAAGAAATCGTTAAAATATTGACAAATTAGGTCAAGAGTTTATGCAAGTTTCCTCAAAAAGTATGTATGTATTAATGTATAAGATCGATCGGATTGAAAACTATCACAGTATAAGTTTGAAATGTGAACTTTTAGTTACTATATAAAATATTTAATAAGTGACAAAAAGTTTATATATATTTACATTCTCATGGTAGGCACGGATTAGATTAATCTCAAGACTAAAGTGACTAATGTGTATATATATAATATATCATGTTATAGACATCATATAGATGAGAAGATTTTTCTCTTTCTGTTTGAAGTAGTTGTGCCAAAATGCAATTATTCATCACATGAAAGGTTAGCATTCTTTTGGCTTCAAATAATGGTTTCTCTTAATGATTATAAATACAGGTTGGATTCTTGCTCCACATCTATTATTATTATTATTTCTTTAAGTTCTTGTTTTTTTTCAATTTGCAGTGTATTATTCATAGCATTTGAATTTGAAGCAAAGAAAAACAAGAAATCATTAATGAGAGTTACTTCATTCGTGATATATTGAAATAAATTACATATTAATATATTATACTGTTTAATCACAGTAGTACTATATTGTAAAGTAGGGCCGCTTAATTGGAAATTTAGAGATATGAAAGATAAGGACGTATTAGTTATGTTATTATCACGTTCTTCGTAACATAATCTGCCAAACCACGTGGTTAAGTAATAGAATCGCATTACTTGTAATGCAAATCGCTTAATGATATATATTGTCATTATTGTGTTCAATTACAGGTTAAAACATATACTTAGGGGAAGATCCTCGTGTTTTCCTTTTTTTTCCTGAGATCTTGGGTTTAACAAGTTTATGTTTCACGATTTTGTTTTGCAACTTGCATCATGTAATTTATGTACCGGTCTGATCTGGTATATATCTGTAGACAGTAATAAAACGATTAAATAAAAGAGTATACTAATATAATATAAAATTGTCTCTCTTTTTTGGACACCTAATATGTAAAATTGTTCTTAATTGAGTATAAGCATATTCTTTGAACAAACTACACCTAAACCAATCATTAATCTATATATGGTTTCGTTAGTTGTATAATGTATACTCTTCTCTATACGGCTGGTTATGTCATCTATTAATCGCCAAATGTCACCTGCTAGCTTTCTTGTTTATAGATAGTAACTCCATGTATCAATTAACCTGATCAACGAGCAAACCACGAGCTAATAATTTGATACCTTCAATAATTGATTGAAAACATAACTGATTTTTTTTTTATCAAACATAACTGATTTTTTTAAAAAGATGGTATTATATGAAGAAAAAGTGTTTTTTCAATTTTAAAATAATAATTTAGGTAGGAAATAAATGAGAAATAAATTATTGGAAGAATTATTAACCTAAATTAATTTAAAAGCCAGAGGCCCACATATATGAGATTATAAAACTAGTTTAAAAGCGACAAAGATGGGTCCAATGTTGGCCACGTGGCAGACAAAGTAAGACTTTTTGAGCGAACGTGGGTCCCACAACGGTAAGAAGCCTTAGAGCATGAATATCGGTTGATTCTTAACCTTGGATCTTAACAATTGTTTATATTAAAATTCTCTTATTTCTAAGCTAAGAACAAATGAAGAATATCTATAAAAAAAAGTCCTCCAATGGTTAAGAACCTATTGGTTCTTAAGTTCAAAAAAAATTCAAATTTTGTATTTAGATGTCTTTCACTACAAGAAACCATATATACAAGCATTTTTATACATTCATAGAAAGGAGTAGAAGATGTACAATCATTCATTCATTTTAGCTTTGGTTCCGATACTTACGAAAATTAAACAAACACAAGTTATCCGATGCTTGACAGAGAGACCAAACCTGAAAAACAAACATAAAACTCATTCAACAAACCAAACCAATAAACTGATTCTGTTTTGCCAAAATTAAACAAACACAAATGTCAACATGTAACTGAAGCATGAAATAGAATAACATCTCAAACAGATAAATTTTATGGTTCAAAACGACGATATAGGCGATGTTAAATGGAAACAAATGGATCAATAACGAATCCCCAAGCTTTTAACATCATATGAACCCTAATTTTTTAAAAAACTTTCTGCTAACAAAATTCAACCCTAATTTGGTTTGAAAACGACATGCAAACATCATATAACACTAATTTTGATACAGTCAATTCCCAATTGTAAAAACCCCTAATTTTTGACAGATCCATAAACCCTAATTTTTGACAGATGCAGTGAAAACAGAGAGAAATCAAAGAGTTTCGTACCATTTCTCCCGCAGATGATGACACAGACGGATCAAAAATGCAATCCACACTCATTTCACCTCTCAATTCGACGAAGGAAGCTGAGTGGCAGAGATTTCTCCGGCGGAAGTTGCGAGAATTTGACGGAGAGTGAGACGACAACGGAGAGTAGAGATAACGATTGCTCATCGGAGACGGCCGGAGTTCACTCACATCGGAGATTCCATCGGAGATTCCAACGATTTCGGGAAATCGTCTCTGTTTCGCGTTTGAGAGAAAGAGAGAGAGAGAGCGAGAAGGGGAAAACAAAAACACGGGATCGTTTTATTTTTCCTTCTTCAATACAGACTACTCATACAAAACTTGACACGTGGACGGTTCTTAGGTTTAATTTTGAGGCTTAACTAAGCCACGTTTCTTAACATTAAGCATGGTTTTTCATTAAATTTTGAGCTAAGATTTTTTTAAGAACACTCTAAGACACCACCGTTAATGGTGGTCTTAGTAATGGCCCATCACATGGATCCATTTCCCATATTCTCTTCAACATGCGAATCCCTCTTAAATTTTTGACCCACGACACAAATATATATATATATATATATTATTTTAGTTTTAATACTACTAAATACAAATTATTAAAATTTTGTATCGTGTTGTGAGAATATAAATACTTTTCGTAAGCAAATTGTTGCTGTTTAGCAAAAATACTGAAATCATTTATAAAGAAAGATACATTGTTTCAAAATCCTCCAATATCATAAGTTGTCATTAACATACAACTTTTGAAAATAATTTAATTCCTAAACACGTTAAGAATCAAATACCCATGCATGATGCATGATGCATTCGTAATCTTTTCTTTTAGCATCAAAATTGGATAGATGAAAATCATGAGATAGTTTGTATTTATTGGAATACGTTGCAAATTAATAATTACGGTTATTAGTTTTTTTTAATTATAGGTTATAAGATAGAGTAGTAATATGTCCAAAATTTATTGGGTAGCGACTAAAAGTCTAAAATGAAGTAGTATTAATGAAAGCAAACTATAGTAGTAGTGCAGTACCATTTAGCAATAGTGTATGAGTTCGAATGGTTATGGAGGTTGGAGCGGATAAATCTGTTTATAGATTAAACCGTTTTTATTTATCATTCATAAATTATATTCCGTAGTGATACGGTCTAAAAAATAGAAGAAATCCGCCGTGAATTTACTACCGACCATTTTTATATACAAATAAATTTAGTTTGCGGAGGATTATTGTCCATTCCAAAATAAACTAAACTGGTAACAAATTAGACCGTTTTGGCTGCAACATCCATTCAAAACCTATATATAATTACTCGTTAAACGTTAGATAAGATGGCTAGAGTAGACTGTCGAGTGAGTACACGTAAGTGTGATGAAGCTAACTTTGAGGAACGTTACAGCCGACAAGCTGTTACTGCCTCATTAATGCACACAATTAATTTCACTGACCTTATGTTTCTTCACATCCAATTTTATTTTATTTATGTATGTAAACTCTTCATCTTTCTTATGCGTAACTATTCTCGAGCTATTGTTAATTGTTACTGTTTAATTTTTCTTAAAATATGTACAATCGTCGGTGTTTGGTAAAATAAACATGTGCTTGCACACTTAAGATTATTGATAGTTTTAGACTTTCACTCATGATTAATAATTGTTTGATACTTAAATCACATAAATAAATAAATAACCCGTTAAGGTCAAACATATCATCACTTTCCCTTGTCATTTCCCAACTTC